GTGCCCAGGACCATCACCCCACCCGCACATCACCCACCCCACCTCTTCCCCACCAGATTTGGGATTGAAACCCTTCCTAAATGGGATCAGAAATGCCAGGCCTGAGCCCTGAGCTCCAGATGGGAGCACCACCGAGAAGGCACCGGGATTTTCAATTGGGATTCGTRGGGAGATGTCACAGCCCTGCCTTTCCCACACTCTTCCAACTACCACAGCATCTCACTCTCCCCACACCCCAAATCTCTCCCTGCTTTTAGGAACACCAGGTTTATGGGGAATGTCCAGTGGGGTCCCATTTTTCTGGGAGCCAGAAAATCCCTCTGCTCATGGGTCAGGATAACGGGGAAGCTGAATTTTGGATAAATTTAATGACCAACAGTATTGGACACACATTAAATGTGCTCCAAATCTCACAAGTTTTGTGCCAGGGAGGGACCTGGCAGCCACTAAAATGTCCTGCCTGGGGGAGAATCCAGCATTTGCCCCTTTTTAATTGGGATTAATCCATCTGGAGATGCATATCTGGGGGAAGACAAACACTTTTTTACTCAGTGCCTCACGGAGTTCCTCAGTCCTTACAAAAAACTTTGAGCCCAGGTATAAAACCAGGTGTGAGAGTTTGGTGCTGCCTGAGGACTGTGGGAGATCCCAAATCAGCTTTGAGCAAAAGGGGAGATGCCCAAAACTGGAGTGAAGGATGAAGAGAGGGATTTGTTGCAAACAGAATTAAATAATAATTAATCAATAATTACATAAAACAGCGGGGGCAGATCCCCCACAATCGCCTCTTGTAACGCAACTCAGGGATACGAAAATGCTCCTGCAGCCCTGGGAGGACTCACAGGAATCCTCTGGGCAGAATTTTCTCAAATAAACTGAAATAAAGGGGAAGTGGTCAGAGAGAAAGAGAGTCCTGCTCCCAGGTGGGGTCTGCTGCAAAGGGCAAGGAAGGAATGCAGGGAGAAGCAGGGATTACTCACAGGGGATTTGGGAGTCAGGAATTTCCATGGGGTCCCTCTCTCGTTTGCCCATGGCTGGGTTCAGCCTGTGAAAGGAAGAGCAGGCCAGGCTCAGAAGGTGCAGATACCCCAGGGCCAGCTCAGGAGAGGCAGCCAGGGGCCCTGCAGGGCCAGGAAACCTCAGCAGGGCACCAGCAGAGCCCCGGCCAGGAGCCCCTGGGGCTGTGCCCACCTCCCTCGGAGCACCCACCCTGGGGGGACAGCAGCACCCACAGGAAACAGCACTGCGGGCTCTGCCTACTCCTGGAGCGGGTATTTCCCTCCTGGAGCAGATATTTCCCTCCTGGAGCAGATATTTCCCTCCTGGAGCGGGTATTTCCCTCCTGGAGCAGATATTTCCCTCCTGGAGCGGGTATTTCCCTCCTGGAGCAGATATTTCCCTCCTGGAGCAGATATTTCCCTCCTGGAGCAGGTATTTCCCTCCTGGAGCGGGTATTTCCCTCCTGGAGCGGGTATTTCCCTCCTGGAGCAGATATTTCCCTCCTGGAGTGGGTATTTCCCTCCTGGAGCGGGTATTTCCCTCCTGGAGCAGGTATTCCTCGTGTGACCTAGGTATTTCTTCACCTGGACCAGTGATTTCCCTTCTCCTGGCCCAGCTGTTCCTCCTCCTTTATTCCATCTCCAGGCCAGGTATTCCTGTATTCCTGCTCCCTAACCAGGGTATTCCTCCTCTGGACCAGTTATTTCTCTCCTGTCCCAGGTATTTCTCCTCT